GCAATTTTTGTTGTTTGAACTCCTATATGATTTCATAATCGCTATATAGTACTTTCGTTCTTCCACTGCTTTTGAGTCATTTAGATCTTACAAACTAAGGTGTCAGTCTCATGGGTCTAATTGTAAGCAACTGCCGTTTTCTTTCATTATCATTAAATACATGTATTTGCTCTTAAACCCGCCACATTCCTAAAGTGCCGGTCTCAAGTCAGGAGCCTGTAGTCAAGTGGTTGTCGTTGTTAACTGTCGTTTAATATTACTTTCTTATACATGTTATATGGGGCCGCTAGTTGTCCATTTAGAATTGTTTGCTAGCTTTTTGTGTATCGAAGTAAACTCGCAATGTCTCGAGATTTTTTTTTCTTTGGATTACTTTATTTGAAAACCTAGATTTGTTTATAACAGTGTGAACCTATACCTAAAGTATGTTCACTCCTAAGTAAAAGAAAATTTAGTCAATGAAGGTTTTCTGTTATAATTTTCAATATTCTTTCAATGTTTTGTTGATTATCCTAGAACTTTTAGCCATTTCGTAATTATAGACATTATACATGTATATAGTACATACAGTATGTGCAAATTTGAAATATAAATTGAAGAATTGGTGGGTGTACGCAAATGAAACGGTCCATAAAAGAACACAATAAAACAAGAAAATCTGTACTAATCAAATCTATTTCAATAACTAAGGAACCTTATAGAATCTCAAATGCTTTTTACCTATTACCGCCAGATTCACATGTAAGTTGCAACGCGTTTTTCTAGAGCGCACGCAAAAAACCCAATGATATATGTTGCTCTAGAGTACGCACAGACGTATAACAAAACTACCGAACTCTAAGGCAAATTCAAAAAGGGTGTGTCCATAAAAACTGACAAAATCAAACGCTATCAATCAACGGAACAAGTGAAAAACAACTGCCATATTACTGACTTGGTGCAGGTACTTCCCGAAGAAAACGAACTGTTTCATGTTTCTCTAGGGCACGCGAACAAACTTTTACTCGTTGCTCTAGCAAACGTTGGAAAAACTGTACTCAGACCCAAATAACCCGTCCCTTTTCCTTTTGTTGCACTTTGTACAATATAATGCCCTCTAAAATCATGTGTTATTTAGAATAGCTCACATACCATAGCTTTACTTTTATTTACTGTAATTTGTGTAGAAATTTTAATTGTTAATTTTATTTCAAGTTGTCAGTTAAAATTTGCAATAACTTTTTTTTTCTCGAGAATATGCGACGGAGATAGATAAAGGAGAACTATATATTTTATTTCTTGCCAAGAAGTTCAGCAATATTTCATTCTTTTAGCACTCAACGAGCAAAGGCAAGTATTCGACAAAGATAATACCATATGTGATCATCTGTCTTACTACTTTTAAATCTTATATAATTGCAAAAACACAAATTTACATAAATTGGGTCAGATAATATTGAAACAAAATATTTTAAAAACCGTGTATCTACTATTAACCATTTTTTGTCTCCATATCAATATTGTGTATGATGTTATTCTCATCTATTTGATTTATTATTTGTATATTAATGGAGTTGACTTTCTAAGTTAAAAAAATACTGTTATCATTATTTTGGACAATAAAATAGTTTTAATTAACTGTCTTATTTGCGTAACTTTAACATGCCAAAATAATTGTATTCGAACAAACGAATTACTAATTTTCCGTTTGTTTATCCTTACAGGTTTTTTTTCGAGCCTGCGAAATTTTTTCGCGAAAGCGAGACAAAGCGTTCCTAGATTCCGTCGTCGTCGGCGTCAACATTTAGGTTCAGTCTGCGGTAAAAGTTTTTTTGGACATCAATAACTTTGTCAAACCTACATGGAATTAGATGAAAATTGGACAGAAGCTTGTTTATGACCAAAATACAGTATCCAGAGCAAAATTTTTAAAATATTTTTTTTTCATTTTTCCGTATTTTACTGATAAATGGACTTAGTTTTTTATTACATTTAACAAATAGATACAGTCTGGGGTTAAAGTTTGTTACACATCAAATACTTTGTACAAACTAAGGTGTCAGTCTCATGGGTCTAATTGTAAGCAACTGCCGTTTTCTTTCATTATCATTAAATACATGTATTTGCTCTTAAACCCGCCACATTCCTAAAGTGCCGGTCTCAAGTCAGGAGCCTGTAGTCAAGTGGTTGTCGTTGTTAACCGTTTGCCAGAACTGTTTTCGTTTAATATTATTTTCTTATAGTTACATGTTATATGGGGCCGCTAGTTGTCCATTTAGAAATGTTTGCTAGCTTTTTGTGTATCGAAGTAAACTCGCAATGTCTCGAGATTTTTTTCTTCGGATTACTTTATTTGAAAACCTAGATTTGTTTCTGACAGTGTGAACATAGACCTATATTAAGTAAAAAAAAAAATTAGTCAATGAAGGTTTTCTGTTGGAATTTCAATATACTTTCAATGTTTTGTTGATTATCCTAGGACTTTTGGCCATTTCGTAATTATAGACATTATGCATGTATTTATATATACAGAATGTGCAAATATAAATTGAAGAATTGATGGGTGTACGGAAATGAAACGGTCCATAAAAGAACACAATAAAACAAGAAAATCTGTACAAATTAAATCTATTTCAATAACTAAGGAACCTTATAGAATCGCAAGTGCTTTTTACCTTTTATCGCCGGATTCACATGCAAGTTGCAACGCGTTTTTCTAGAGCGTACGCAAAAAACCCTGCTTTGTGCTGTAGCCCGACACGACCGAATGTTTTATCGTACTAGCTTACAAAAATCATCATGGTAACTAACTTATAAGAGGAACATACCGCCTCGTTGGTGCCGTGGTAGCGTGTTTGTCTGGAATGCGGAATGTCATGTGTTCTATCTCCGGCCGGCCATAGCGAAAATTTAAAAAATGGTATTTGCTGTTTCTTTACTAAGCATGTGGTAAAGAGTAAGAAAAAGAACTGGTCGGCTCGGAGTCGGAATGATGTGTCCAGCTAAGGTGACGTATCTTTGATTTTAAATGCTGCAATAATTCAAATTGTCAATTTTGCTATTCTTGATCTTGATGTTTGAGTGTTCATTTCTCAAAATGTTCTGTTCCCGTTTGCAGTAACGTTTATGAAATACACGACCGTTATTTGTGAAATTAGTAGAATTACGTCATACATTTGGTTTGAAAGTTGGGATGAATATATATGGAAATCTTTCAAAAACATATCATATAATGTTTTTATGACAATGCTATTGATTGAGTGAAATTCGTTGATTGGCTTAACTCATACATGTTAACTGTATGCTTTTGAAAATTGTTTTCTTCGGTATTAACATCGATTTTTGTTTTAATTACGCTATTTTGTTTATCAGATCTGTATGTAATTCCTTAATATAAGCACAGCAAAAGATCATGCTTTATCAAGAACTTTCATGATATTTACATAAAAACGGAGGTGTTCTTAATCATCTTAATCTATCTAATTTGTAATTTTGAACTTATTACGTATAACGTAATGCAGATAATGAGAGTGTGCAGGTTTTTCAGTACTGTATGTCTTTTGTCATATGATGAGATGTGATCTGCAGTACAAATCTTTTGATTACGTTGTTTTTCCCTGTTTGTTTCACTGTTAAGGCCCGTTGTCACTATCAAAGTTTTCTTGTACAAGTTTTTTGGTGGAATTATTTTGAGTGACAACTGTCAAAGAAAACTTTTTTCAAAATCTTTGACGGACTTGGATGGAATAGATCCTCATCCTATTTTTCATGACATTTGGATGGATTTTGACGGGAATTATCCAATCTCAGTGCAGTGTTTTCTTTGACCAAATTTTTGATGAAAAATTCTGATAGTGACAACCGATGACTTGGACCAAGTATACCTATTAAAAGTTTCCTTTGACAGCGTTTTTGTTGAAAAACTTTGATACTTGGACCAAGTTTTTCTGGTCAAAGTTTTCTTTGACCAAGACAACTTTGATAGTGACAACCGGGCTTAACACGGGTCTATATATTAAGGAGAAGATTGAGCACTAAGCCTTTCATATGTTTAAACTTAATGTGTCTCTTCTTAGTCAGAATCCCGAAGATCGATGTCAGTGGTTGTCTTTTAAAAAAAATTCTTTGAAATTTGTTATGATACCGTTGTTTTGTCTATTTCAAATTGTTTTATACTGTAAATATTTAGTTGTGAATTGACTCGTTCGTCCCTTCGATATTTGGTGGATAAGCTAATTTTGAATTTGGTTTTACGTATAATAGCGTAATTCAGAAAGTGAGTGATAGTTGCTTCATCTGCAAGTAATCTAACAGAGATCTCCTTAATTTTCACAATATATCAAGTACATCGAAAATAAAATTCCGCTAAGTAAAAAAAAATCACTTAGAACTAATTATGTACCTTTAAGTAGGGGATGGCATAAGATATTATTGCAGTTATATCTTCTATAAAGTAAACAAACATGCAAAAATAATGTTTACCTCGAACGAGTACAAAACGTTTATTCGTTAGAGCTGATATTTACAATGTTTGAAGAAAAGTAAACAAGGTTCAGGCATATGCTTCGCAATATTAAACAAGTTTCTCGCATATGTTTTGCAGTAATACACATTAAAGCACGTTTAATGTTCTAATGCCTATCGATAAACGCCATCTCTTTTATCAAAAGATTCTCTTTTTCCTTTCGTACAACTAATTTGATAATTGTTTACAAATATGCTTGTACTTTTACGAGACTTTCTGAAGGCCAATGGCGTATGAATAAACTCATCATAGATACCAGGATTGAAATTTTGTATTTTCGCCAGACGCGAGTTTCGTTTACAAAAGATTCATCAGTGACGCTCGAATCAAAAAAAGTTAAAAAGGCCGAATAAAGTACGAAATTGAAGAACATTGAAGACCAAAAATTCCTAAAGTTTTGCCAAATACATCTAAGGTAATCTATTCCTAAGGTAGAAAAGCCTTAGTATTTCAAAAATGTAAAGTTGAAACGTCTACAAATTAGAAAAAACACAACTTAAAAGCAATGAAAGATATTTACTGGTACATTTGTTCCAGCATTTAACATCAAATAGCTGACAATAAAACATGTGAATTTTTACATATTTTTTTTTAAACTGTATACATTAAAGCATATTTTCGAACAGTATTCACATTAACCTACCTAAACAGGATCATTTTCAACTGTAATAGTCGTAATTGATTGCTAGGCTCGAAAAAGTCGAGACATGGCGTAACCATGATAAAATATCTGAAAAGAGTAAACATTTATTTGCAAAGACGATAAGAGTAGAATTTTTGATTTCTCAAAATGAGAAATAAAAACTTACGAAAGTCCTGAATTTTCCACACTTTTTAGGTATTAACAAATCTTGTTTTTAAATGAATTACAAATGATTTCTTTAATTGCGGATTTCACTCGAAATAGTGTAAAAAAGCAAACACTCGTTGAATAATTGTAAGCACAGAACTTGCATCAGTAGCTGACTTTTTTTCCTCACAGTTTCAATATTAATTTTTCAACTATCAGTGCAGCAGAAAATACATTTACTTTAAACTTTTCATGCTTTGTTAAGAGTGAAATATTTCTTCTTTGTCCCATTTTAACCAACACATATAACTTGTTCAGAGGATAAGGCTACAATTTCCCTTTGTCAATAATAAAATTGAGAATGGAAATGGGGAATGTGTCAAAGAGACAACAATCCGACCATAGAACAGACAACAGCAGAAGGTCACCGACAGGTCTTCAATGCAGCGAGAAATTCCCGCACCCGGAGGCGTCCTTCAGCTGGCCCCTAAACAAATATATATACTAGTTCAGTCACAATGAACGCCATACTAAACTCCAAATTGTACACAAGAAACTAAAATTAAAAATAATACAAGACTGACAAAGGCTAGAGGCTCCTGACTTGGGACAGGCGCAAAAATGCGGCGGGGTTAAATATGTTTATGAGATCTCAACCCTCCCCCTATACCTCTAGCCAATGTAGAAAAGTAAACGCATAACAATACGCACATTAAAATTCAGTTCAAGAGAAGTCCGAGTCTGATGTCAGAAGATGTAACCAAAGAAAATAAACAAAATGACAATAATACATAAATAACAACAGACTACTAGCAGTTAACTGACATGCCAGCTCCAGACTTCAATTAAACTGATTGAAAGATTATGTCTTCATCATATGAATATCAGGCACAATCCTTCCCGTTAGGGGTTTAGTATCATACCATCATAACATATATGAGAAGAACATAACCCGTGTCATGCCCAATGTTTCTAGAGAGCGGGAAAGCTCCAATGAGACTTATGAAATGACTCCATTCGAACAAATCCACACAACTTCATAACAAAAATGTACCAATTCTTTATATATAAGGCTTGCTTTGATATGCTATGATTTACAAGTTTATTAATTATACAACAAATTACCATCCTCATTTGTTTATGAAAATGAGTTTATGTACAAATGGTGTGTATCCTTAACACTTTTCAGACACGAGCACGCCATTGAAAACTGTTAACGCACTGCTTCTTTATTGACCACCATCAATGCTGATTTGATGAAATCGTGATATTGAAGCCACACTATATGATCTAGGAAGTGTTCTTAGGTTATGTTAATGTTATATATAATCAAAATATTGTTCGTAAATACATGTTTACTTGTAATGAACTATGCATTTTGTAATTATTGATCCACAAGTCATCAGTAATAAATGATAAGCATATGTGTGCAATGGATGGTCTCATAACTTTTTGAAGAATTCCTGTAGATTACGACTTGTTGTTTTTGCAGCTTTCTTCAAACTGCGTTTTTCGGACGATACTGGTCTCACATCTAATAAATGTTTTTGAGACGAATACATTTCTTTGGGTGTCTGGTGCTTCTCAAAAGAGTTTTCACGTTTAGGTGGAGTAATCAGAAACTCGTGTTTGGCTGAATGGCGTAGTATTTCCGGTTCAGAACATCGACGACTTGTGCATGATCCTCGTCTACCATGTTCATCATGCTCATGACGATGGTGTTTTTCCAGTAATTCTGCTGTTCGTTTTCCCGCTACTATGTTGAATAAACCATACGACAAGAAAGCTTCTCGGTCCTAAAAAAATCGAAAAGTGGTTAAAAATGGCAAGTATTGAATGTATATACATGAATGTATATCTAAATTTTGTTTACACATGAATTAAAGGAGATAAGAGAACGTCAATGAGAAAGCAGCCTTACGGTGACCTGACGACGTATGTACACCAGACACGGTGTATATTCGGAACGCTTGCTTTCCGATACGCGTAACGCTTGCTTTCAGATTTATGTTGACGAAGAAGCAGGAGACAAGAAATGAGGATGGACGATACTTAAAGTGGATGGTAAATGGTGTTCTCTCTTGTATCTCACGGAACACTCGAGATATTTTTCTTGATAAAGATGGAATGCATGTCAGCATAATAATGTGTAATCAGGTCGTAAACGGTCCCACAAATGCAACACTTTAAACGATTGACCACAAGAATGCATTTCTTTCGTATGAAACTGTTTAAACATTTAGAATTTACTCAGGTTTTAAATCCTCTATAGGCTTTTCTGCTATTAATACTCTTCCGTTTCTCAAAATTCATTCAATCTAACCATATATGCTCTTTGAAATCAAAGTACTGAAGTACTGAACATCGGATGACCGCAATTTCTTGTGGATTGTCAAAAGCACTTGTCACAGAAAAAAATCACATCTCTATACCTGAAACTGAGGTTAATGCACAGAGATATTTTTTTTTCTGAGACAAGTTCGTGTGTGGATGATGAATAAATGACAGAAAATTCCACCTCACCGTAATAACTATTATATTGTAGTGATACAAATCAGTATACACTGGTTTGTTGTTATATATTGTATTAATATAACAGTTACATGTTTATATAATTTTCATCCATTTGTATATCATTCTATTCTACTATTCTAATAAGAGTGCAGTGCAAGTGCATGGTGGACACTCTAATGTAAAAATTCGATTTTTCTAAAAGATTGGATATGAGTAGGCATTTATATTTTCCCGCAAAAACAATCTTCCATGCAGAGTTACAGGTCCTTGCCGAGATTGTCGCAAAATGTTCTTGAGATATTCTTCCGCATGCTTTACCATATTAATGTTTTTTTACTTATATATATATATATCTCTCTAACGGCAAAACATTTTCATATTATTAATTTATGTTCTAAACAAAACTGAATATTGTTATCAGTATTCATTGAAGAGATGTATTTATAAAAAACGATAAGGAATGTTATTTTGCACTCTTTAATATCCACGTATTTATCATGTTTATAGATCGGTTACAAACCCAAAACGAAAGTTACGTAATGGAAATCTAGGCGATAGCAATACATCGGAATGCCCTCACGGTCATCGCGATGTAAAAATTACAGGAAACGCTGTCTTTCAGATTGTTTACCTTCAGCGTCATTCTGGAAAACGATTGCTTTCCGATTTTCAGGAAATGACTTCTTTCAGATGTAACGATTTGCTAATCATTGGTTCACATGCAGACTATAAAATTTCATTTTTGTTTCGATATTTATTTATTAACACAGCGGAGGTAACAAGTCAAAGTGGCACCTGGTTTGATCATCAAAGGGATATTTCACTCCAATAAAATATAAAATAAAGATTAAAATGTTAAATTCGGGACCCATTTCCTACGGGAAAAGAAAGATCTATGGCTACATCCACAAATGAGTACATAAAATAAGTATTAAAAATAAACACCCGAAAAAGATTAATGAATTACTACAGCAAATAATAGTGTTTCCTGTCCAAAGCTCTAAAAAAATCAACCCGTAATCAGTGTAATGGTTCAATCACAGTACCACAGTCCAATGTGTGTACTTTCGTATTTTCTAAAGAGATTACCTAATTATAAATCACGGGATATAATCCAGAAATGTTGACAGACTTTGGCAAATTTTGGGAATCTATATACCATTACCAAAACACATATAATAGATGTTAACTGCAACCACAATTATGCTAAAAGAAAAGCTATGTATTGTCTTTTGGACATATTTTGGTAAGCGGCGTTCTCCGATGCAAAATTTCGCCCTGAACATGCATGAAATATTTGCCACTAGACGTGGAGCAACCAATAATCAACAATCAATCGATGCAAAATTTGAAAAGCTACATGTAAAGCATGCAAGTGTGTATCAAATGCTTTCAACGGCAAAATGTAGCGCTGAATAACACGTTGATTTTATGGAAGTATGTAAAAAAATTTGAAAAATATTCTAAATATATTATATAGACTATATGGATCAAAAGTTTCTTACCTCTTGGGAGAGGGAACTTACTATTATCATGGAAGTATATTATCAAGTGGAAGGGATAAGCCGTTGAAATCAGTCACTATTTCAAACTTCCTGATCTATATGTTAAGGTCGAAAAAATCTTATGTGAAATATGACATCCCGCCTTTGATAACACAGATATGTCGGTAGTCTTGAAACATTACGTAATAGAAAGATTTTCTTTAATGAAATATGTTTGAACATGGTTAATTACTAGTACCATATTTGACTGAATTTGCACCCTTAAATCTTAAAGTAAGCGTTTCCTGAAACTGGATACCTGGAGTTTTTTTGTGAACCCGACTCCTGATGTCAGAGTATTTCAAAGATAGACTAGCGACCACATAAATACGTCTCTAGTAAAGAAAAGCTATGGATCATACTCCGATATCAAACCAAAATTTACCTGTGAAAAAAACCATAGAAGGCCCGAGAACACAGTTATTTCGTAGTGCATTTCTTTTAGACAATAAAGCCAAATTAAAAAAATCGCACCTGCTCTATCTCAAAAAGATTTTTACAGTGTAGTGTACTACTATTGGGACAAATAATATCAAAATTATAGAAAAGTCTACCAGCTCTAACTCAAAATATTGACAATTCTATGTTAAGGGGGTCTAAAATTCAGTTTGACAGCTTCAGGTTTTTGACCTTTTTTAACTGGACCAAATCACTACTTTACATAAAGATTCAGCACCCAAATTTTTTTAACATGTAATTTCATCCCCTTACTTAATATTTCATGCATAAAATATAAAGAAATTAATTTGGAAAGTGTATGAAAAAAATTTGCAAGTTATACACTGTCCACACTAGGGACTATATTTGTAGAGACAACGAAAATCTAAGGACGATAACTGTGTCCTCGGACCAGAAAACGCAAGTACATGTCTTGGCAGAGGTATGGCGCGGAATAAGGATAAAAAATACTTATTTACATATACACATAATTATGTCTGTATATATACGTAATTCGATTTATGTAAATATATACGGAATTATTTCTGTGTATACATAATTCAATTTACGTTTGTACGCGTAATTCGATTTCTGTATATACGTAATTCGATTTACGTATATACGTAATCATTTTTGTAATCACTTAATTATTTTTGTATATACGAAAATCGAATTATGCATATGGGTAAATAACTATTCTTGACCTTGATTCCGCGCCATACAGGGGAGACGCAGACGCATGTCAGTGCAGTGTCGGTATAAGATAAATATTCCAGAGAACATCTGATACGTTACAAATAGTACGTAAAAATTTAAAAAGAAAAACAACATAATTATTTTGGCAAATAAAACGACCCGCCTAAAACCAATGAACTTAATCACAGAAAATAGAACACGGGTATGTATACTAGATAATCAAGTATAATGCTCGTGGTCCTGACTCAAAGTTCTTTTCCAGTTGACAATGAAATAATACCTTTTAAGGTACATATCGTGGATATTTTTATTCTTTTGTGTTTCAGTATAAGATATTTTTTCCTTAGTATTACGTCGTCATACATTTCATTTCAAAATACTTTTAGCGACACCTATCTCGTCGCAATTTTCGCTATAATAAAAACATCGCCAAAAATTCTGAATTTACTGTAGGTTGATTGATTGCTGTTAGGTTAACATCTAGTTGGAAATTGTTCATGCATATTCATGACGATAACAAAAGACGAGAGCTTCAACTGTAACTGAAAATGAGAATAGGTTGGGAAGCGGTAGAAATTTTGTCTTTCAAAAGATCAACTGCAGACCCCTCCAAGAGTTGTTGCAAGGATTCTTTAACGTGCCGAGAATGTCACACTCTCCATAAACAATGCATCAGTATCAGCTTTTTAACATTGAAAATGATTTATTAAAAGGTATGAGTAGGTGATTTTCCCAATCAAAACCGTAGATGGCGTCGACTTATGTATTTCGTACAGCCAGACGGACGCTCCTAGTGGTGAATTGTACCCATCAGACGGAGAAACTTATACTATTTTCTATAACCAGGGTTGCCCTCTGGGGATTCAATATAGAAGTAAAAAGCCTGTAGTCATAGTTATGTTTATTAACGTTCATGCAAGGAGCATGATTTTTTTCTTCTTTATTCAGTTTATAATGTAAATCTAAATTTATTTCATACGTTAATGTTCACGGAAATATACCTTTTCTGAAATATGTTTTGCTCCATCGATATCAAAACGTTTACCGCCATCAACTTCGAAACTCTGTTTTCTCTCATCTTCAATACTTTTTTTCCTCTTAACTGAAAAAATAATCATTAAGTGTTTGATTTAACAAGAGGTGATCTCACACCAAAGTTAAACTGCAGGCAACGCCATAACAAACAAAACATGTAAAAGAACAAGAGCTGCAAATGTTGATTGCAATCCCCCCTTTTAAATTATATGGATTATGAACTTGTACCTTTATTGAGGTACTATCATTGGAATAAATATTATACCTGTTAATGATTTTTTACTTACTTTTACAGCATTTAAATCTTGTATTTTAACTGAGACAAATTTATAGGTTAACGCTATAAACGTTACAGTATTTTCAAAACCAACTTGGGAACAGACTTATATCATTCATTCGATACTATATCATGTATATGTTGTGGAAGGTCATTGATGCTTTCAACTTGAGTATAAATATTTGACAACTTCGAATGTCGATGCACACGTGTCACTTTCAAAAAATGGATCTATCCTAGCTGGGTTTTTTTTGTTTGCAACTTGAGACGTATCATCGGTATAACTGCATGTTTTCGTGAATTAAAAGTGTTCTAAAAATTCCCACATGGTCATCCATTTCCATTTTGAAAACTGGACTTTTTTTGCATCCGCCACTTCTACATATAATTATTTAGAGCAATTGTGTGTTCAACTGGTTTGTTACGACATTTGAAAAGAGCAAGTAAAGTATTTTTGGAAGATCTCACAATTAATTAAGGCTCGTGGATGCATTTTCAGTATAGATGTATTCCTCTATAAATACACTCCGTATAATCCTTTGCGTGGGACGGTAACAGCTATAGTAAGTGTAATTAGCGTAAACATCTTTTTGATGTATACATGTATGTCTGCATCAAAGCCAGTTTGCACTTTGTTGGAACATACCGGACAAAAGGTCAAACGGCACCGACCATTCATTTATTGTTGAGGGATGGGTGTGTGAATATTTCTTGGGACATACGTTATTTCGACTTAATAAAAAACAAAACTTATCTTTTTTACTAAATAACATACTGGAACAAGAAATCTGTTTCAAAAATCAATTTTGCATTTCGTTTTCCTAATTGTCAATGGAAACAAACTATTTTGTCGGTGCCTAAAATTGTAAGATTGTGTTTTTTTTCATATAAATATTTATGACTGCTATTTAACGTTCTATTTTTGTAATTGTTAACTAAATAGTTTTTAGATGAACAAGATACGAACTTCATTTAAGAGTTGAATGCTTCTTTTGTGACAGTTTTATTGGGATGTAAAAGCGCTTTATACTAAAAATGTGCGCACTATCAACGCTTTTACACCCCTATTAAACTACAAAAAGAAGCATTCGATTCTTATAATTAGCTTTATGCTACAACCATAAAATTAGGAGTTATTTCCAATTTTTCGTTTATTTTCCTATGAATTGTTGTGGCGTTGTGCTGACATGAATGTTGCATTTTATTGGGAAATAAAATCTAATTATTGTAATGCCTCTCAATTGTTGTCAGTACAGATTCTTATGAAACATAGTCATGTAATGTAATCATAACAAAATATAGCATATTTATGTGTGTGTGTCGTGTTATTTAAACGATTGATGACCACCATAATGAACATGGCAGAGGTCTAGGGGAAGGGTTAAGATCTCACAAAACATGTTTAACCCCTCCGCATTTTTGCGCCTGTCCCAAGTCTGGAACCTCTGGCCTTTGTTAGTCTGGGATGTCTTTTTTCAATTTTGGTTCATTTATATGTTTCGGAGTTTAGTGTGACGTCCATTTTCGCTGAACTGGTATACATTATTGTTTAGGGGCCATCTGAAGCCCGCCTTCGGGTTCGGGATTTTCTCGCTGTGTTGAAGACCCATTGGTGGCCTTGGGCTTTTTTCTGCTCTTTATTCTGGTTTTTGTCTCTTCGACACATTCCCCGTTTACCTTCTCAATTTCATGTTATATGCAGATAAAACTGGTCCAATCCAACCCCATTTGGTGCCTGTATTGAATGGAACTATCTGAGCCATGTGGTGTTTGTAATTGTTCGGCTTTGCTAGCTATATGGTATTTGTGTGGTCTGACGCACTGTAAATTATTGAGCGACTGCATTGTCCTTGAATTATTTGTGTAGAAAACTCAATTTAAGCATTAAAAGCTGCTGTTCGCATATCTTTATACTACATATATTTGGAATCATTAGTGTAGGTATTACTTGTATTTAGAATAAAAGTACAAATCATTATCATTTCATGACTGATTATATATCTAATAAGTTGGCACGCGAGCATATCTGCTGTATACAAATGTTCGCTATTATTCCTCAGTTCTTAGTGGGTAGAGATATATAAAAGTCGGCGATGGCAATCAACTCGTCATATGGACGTTAATATGCACAGCTTTAGATATAAGTATTAATACGCAGCTACCGCAATACCAGGTCACACATTAACCTCCCATGAAGTACAAACACGTAGATATCAATGACAATGTTATGAGTTTTTTTTGTATTCATAAATAAGGTTTGACCGTATTAAAATAACATGAAGAAATAATATCTGAATTTATGAAGAAAAGGACCTAAACTGCTTGACTTGATGTATAACTGACCCTGATTTCAGATTTAACAAATTTCCATACCAACTCAGACAAGAAGAACTCAGGCAACGCAATAAAAGGATACATGTATAATTCTAAAAAAGCTAATCTTCATTAACAGAGCAATGAAAAAGTGACGCACTTTATGTGACACTGTCAGACAGACACACAGTCATATTATAATTTCAAGGACTGTGAATACCAAACAGAGTTGACCTCTCATAACTATGTGACATTACAAACAACCGATATAAAATTCATGCAGAACCAATCTAAGCAATTTACGTACAAAATATTGTAATCCTGTCGTGCATAGTTGATAAGATATAAAAACTCATGTTGGCCGGAAAAAATAGTACACTTCTTTCCAGTTCGATTAGCATATGCATCGTACATGTAATTCATCTACCGATAATTGTTGGCTTAGATTATTATACATGATTAATACTGCAATTCCCGATCTATTTCGATTAAAGCTGACAACTGTTGCATAAAAATGAGATCAAGGTGAAATTAAAGTACATTATATAAACTATCTCTCCCTCTATACAATTCTTTAATGTAGAAAATATATCGCAAAGTTTTCGCAAGTAAGGAAAACATACAGTTGACTGACTGATTGTTGCTTGTTTAACATCCAGTGGCTAATATCGCATGCATATTCAGAATGGAAAAAAAGAAGGAATCTATAAAAGTAAGTATATGTTGATCAAAGTAGAAAGACCAGGTCGGAGGGCAAGAAAATTGAACTGCCGCTTGAAAATATGGGATGTAGGATAGAGGCAGATATTCTATCTTGCAATATGCCACATACGGACCTCTCAGAGAGTTGATTGAAGGGTTCTTTAACTATAGCGTGAATGGAGCGTGAAGTCCACCTCACATGGGCTATCGAATTAAATGTCCCTATTCCGACTCAACGTGGCCGCGTTTTTATGCATCCTGCACAGCCAAACGAACTACCCACTTACTGCCAGACAGGAAAATTCCAGGGATGACCACATTTCTTTACGCCAGTCAAAAATTGAGATGAAAACGAAAATTGGAAAAACGTGTGACTATAAATAAATATATACGTTTAAATATGTGACAACTGTTCTCCATCGCACAACCTTAGGTTATACAGGGCTAACACTTTGTTTTATATATACTTCGCCTGAAATTTAGCCCAGCAGTGAGGGTATGGTACGGGTTTTATAGAATAGAGAATAGTGGACCAATACTACATAATGATCGGCCAAAAAATAAAGAATAGAGAATAGTGGGCCAATACTACAAAATGATCGGCCAAAAAATAAAGAATAGAGAATAGTGAACCAATACTACAAAATGATCGGCTAAAAAAAATATAGAATAGAGAAAAATAGGCCAAATAAATAAAGAATAAAGAGTAATGGAGTGTTCAAATATTATATAAAGAACAAAGATTAATGGACAAAAATAAAAAGAATAGAGAAAAATGACAAACAAAATTAAAGAATACTTATAACCATTTGAAAGCCAGAGATGTATGAATACGTAGAAATGTTTGGAGGTAAATGACCAATAGGGACCTTCAAAGAATTGCAAACTCGATATGTAGGTCTTTATACACTAGTGTACCGAAATATCAGTCTCAGAGCTGCAGGCATTACAAAAAATTATCAGGAGAAGTCCAACTCAATTGCCATAACTCTGTTAAATAAATGACTGAAAAATGTGAAACGCATACTCAATCAATGTCATCGTTATAATATTTCATAACTATGATTATAATGCTATAGGCATTCAGAACAAAACCCTGATATCTACCGATCTGAGGAATTTCTAACTTGACCATATATCCATACCCTCATGGAAAATTGAATTCAAACAACACTTTTAATAACGAAATCCTGAAATTTATGATAATCAGAACAGCATTCAAAATCTCAGCAGTAAAACTGTTTTTACCAAATGACTGTGATGTTGTGATAGAATTAAGAATTAAGAAAAAAATTTGGATAGTGTTTTTGGTAAATGAATTAAGAAATAAGGTCATGCAAAATAAAACAAAAATACTTTTGTTTTAGGATTTCCCCGTCTATTTTTTTTGTATACTTTCAAATGCCTAGTACCCTTAAGGGTTTTTTTTTGTACTTTTGGTATTGAATCGAGACAAAACTGCAGGTGAACCCTTTATACTCAAGGCAAAAACATTCATTGAAATAAAAAAAAAATCCTTCACTACTGTTCTAAATGTGTAAAATCCAGGCACAGAATATAATAGAATAGAATTATATGCATGGTTTAGCCTAAACAAGAAAATGACAACAACCGAACAATTCCTCAAAACGTCAATCACTCGGTCGGAGAAACTTTCCGATCATGAAATTTCGTTTAAACACTTTTCGTAACGAAAGGTGTATCTTAGGCCGGATATCTTCAAACTTTGTAGGTTTTGATACTTTTTAGAATACATTAACAATCTTTCGTGCGAA